CATCGTCGATCTCGTCTGCCGAGTAGGTACCCGGGAGACTCCTGAAGGTCCTCTTAAAATATCTAGAGTATGTGTTCAATAATAATACATATATTAATATATTATTATATTAAATATATGTTTATTATGTATGTGTAGAAGATTCCTGAAGGAAGGGTGAGAGAAGAGAGCTCTTTACTATTTTCTCAGCTCTCCCGCAAACGCCCTTTGTGCGTTGCCTGAGCCCGTATAAGTCTTCGAGCTCGCGACGCAGCGCGAGAACCTCTTCGTACCACTGATCCGCCGAGCGGAACCTGATCTTCGCCCATTAGCCCCTGCGGCACCACGTTGTACTCCAGGGCACGTGGGTGAGCGTTGAGGCCGATGTCGGGAATCTTGCGACTTGCGATGAGTTTCCCAGCACCAGACCACAGCTGATCATGGGGGATCGGGGGGAATGAGCGTCGATCGAAAGTGAGACGAAGTCGGGGCGAAAGCCGGTGGCCATGGAGGAGCTCGCAGTACATGAACCAAACCTCGGGCAATTTCAGCAGCCCCAGGAGAGCACGTTCAAAAGGACCGTTGACATTCTCGAGCCCCCGGCGCTCGGAGCCCGGAGGCCGATTATAGAACAGCTCAATGCCTCCCTGAACATAGTAATTCCAGAGCCTGGACGATCCGGGGAGTTGTGTCAGAGCGTGGTCGAAGATGATTTTCAGCAGAGCTCTGGTGAAGTTCTTCTTGTTCTGGTTTTCGGCGAAGCTGAGCCAATCGCGCACTTGATCTATATATTTCGATAGCCCTGTCTTGTAGGCTTGCTCGGATGAAAGATTCCGGCAAATCCGCCGTGCACGGCGCAACGCGAACTGTCGCTCCAGACAGCACATATACCGCTCGGCGAGCCGGGAGGGCGGCGGGGGCTGCCGAAGCAGCCCAGGGCCGAGCGCACTCCCCGTAAAGGGAGCAGCTCAGCCGGCGGTATGGCGCCTGCTCGACGATCACCATCGACCCCCAGACGAGTTTGCAGAGCCGATTCACCTGGCCGACACTATACTCCGCAAGAACGGGATAGTGCCAAAATGAGAGAAATGAGCCATCAATTTCGAACAGCCGGATCGTCGTGCAACAGAATCCCAGGGAAATCTTTCAACTTATCAAGAACCAAATTCAACTGCCGTCGAAGCATAACCCACCTCGGCTTCGAACAGGCCCCGGGGCGAGCGCGGATAGGGCGTCGCTGGCCGCTTGGGCGCACGATTCTTCCTCGCGGTGCCATCGCTCTGGGCGGTCGGGGGAGCCATTGTTGAGTTTCTGCGCGACGTACGTCCCAGGACTGATTGGGAGCAAGTGAAACGCAGAGCGCGCAGACATCGAGAACAACCG